AAGGTCCCTTCCCACCCAAACCATACTGTGACTCCCTAACTAAAAATCTTACAGTTAGGGCAAAGAGGGTTGTTTCATCTCCTGACAGCTCAAAGCTCTCCCAATTCCCCATGCTGGTTCCTTTCCCTCAGTTGCACAATGCATCTGCTTGGTTTCCTGCTGGCAAAACATAAAAATCCCAACTCCTCGGCAGTTGAGAGCCAGCAGAAGAAAACAAAATAATTTAATTTCCCTAATGAGAAGAGTGTGTTTTAAAGGACTAAGTGCACTTGAAAGCATTAACGTGCCATACTGACAAAACCAGCGGGCTGGGCAATGTGCTGGGGTGGAGAAGGAGGGATTGGAGGAGGCTGGAGGGCACAGGGGTGCTCCAGGCAGAGGGTTTGCCATCACAAGACACGGTGTTCAGTGGACCAGACCTCAGCCTGGCCATGCTTCCCACTGGTGCTGGGCTCTGGCAGAGGAGCTGGGCCTGGAAAAAGCCCCGGGGCCTGTCCTCCCACAGCAAAGAAAAGCGTTCAAGAGAACAATTAAACCACGGCCCTCCCAAGCAGCCTGGTTTCTTGCTCTGCACAGGGGAGGCTGGTTTGGAGCCCAGCCCGGCATCCACATCCCTCTGCTCCAAGCAACAGCTCCAGCTTTACTCAGCCTTTAGCACCGATGCACGAGCAGGTTTCAGCCCCGATCCCAAATCCTGCCCCGTTCCCATCAGTCCCCAGGGCAGCTCCCAGGGGTGCCCCCCTGCCTCTGTCCCCACCTCATCCAGTTGCTAAGCTACCTGCGCCCGGCTTATCACGCCATGCGGGGAAGGGCAGCGGCTCCAGGTTTATTGTGCTAAGTCATGTTTACTCACTGCCTTCCCTCCGAGCCCAGAGCTCGGAGGAGGACAGGGTTGACATTTGGGGGATGGGGAGGGAGGTGACAGAGCCGGGGCTGGCAGGGGGCCGTCCAAAATGCTGCGAGGCCAAAACATGAACGGGCAAGGAAGGCTTTCCCCAAAAATCACACAGCCGCTATGCCAGGGGGACAGAAACCATCCCACCCCCAGCCACCCCACGCTGAGGTTCAGGGCACACCTTGGCACTCTCCATCTCATGCAGTTGGCAGCTTTCTCCAAGCATAAGGGTCACAGCTCCACAGACAGGGAGGCACCCACACAGCCATGGGAATAGGGCATCATCTTTCCAATCTTCCTGAAAACACGCAAGAACCACCCCCAAACTCATCAGCTTCACGGCTGCCTCTCTGGTTCTGTGCAGCCTGGGAGAAGGTAAACCACAGGAGAGGATGATTTGCCTTAGTTGTTTAAGGTGGTAATTCTCAGCATTGATGCCCAAGCACAGTGTCTCAAGGCCCTGCTGCCCAAACACCCCCAAAAAAGTGGTCTGGATTTGTTGGGACTCACATGTAACTTACCACAGTTTGCTCTGCAGCACATAAAGGAAAAGAAATTGCAAAGAGATATTGATCTTTGTCATCACCAACTGCAAGGATCAGGTCACCCAAGGCTGTCAGAGCTCAAGGAGCTGTTGGACAACACCCTCAGGCATATGGGGGGATTCTTGGGGTATCCTGTGCAGGGCCAGGAGCTGGACTTGATGATCCTGGTGGGTCCCTTCCAGCTCACAGTACTCTCCGATTCTGTGAAAGAATTTTAATTGCCAGAACATAACCTTTCAGAGAGAGCAATGCCCCTCTGTACTCACTCCTGCCTTCCCCAGAGCCAGAATAGATGCTTCATTTTAGTTTTATCTTTGCCTATAATCATTTCCCAAAGCCAGGAATTGCTGCTTCCCCACCACCACCCCTTACAAACCAAGTAACAGCAGCTCTGTACAAGACAAGGCTCACTCACAGTCTCTCCCTCTGCCCTTTTTTCATCACAGACAGAAACAGCCTCTTGAACTCCATTGTAATAGAAGGGAGATGGAAAAGGAAAAGGAGCTGAACTGCAGTTTAGTGTGACTCATCTCTGATTGACGCCACTTCTTTCCTCTAAAGCAGGCTCCCAGTAAATAAATATATTAAATAAATAAATAAATATGTAAAATAGGGAAACATAAAGCAATTCTCTGATGCAGAGACCATCACAGAGTTTCAGGTTTTGGTTTCCACCCCCTGAAAATTATCTGTAATGTATTTTGGAGCTTAACCTCACACAGGTATCATTTCTTTGTACATCAGGTTGTAACAAGGACATACAGACACTGTGGGAGGTGTTGCAGGTGAGAGGACAGAAGGGACCAGCTGGACCTTGGACACATGCAGGATGTATCCCAGGCAGGGAGCAGAGGGCAGCATTGATATCCCACCCCTCCCACCCACCCTGCAGCTGCCTCTGTGTTCCCATAACTCCAGGATCCACGGGATGCCTTGCTGCTCTGAACAGCTGCTCCATCATACCTGTGCCACACTGATTCGCTTTTCTTCCCTTCCCTTCCCGTGGTGCCAGGCAGGAAAAGCCCACAGGCTGAGCACGGAGGAGAGGGAGCAGCTGCTGCCAAACCTGAGAGCTGTGGGGTGGAATGAGGTGGAAGGCAGAGACGCCATCTTCAAGGAGTTCCACTTCAAGGACTTCAACCGGGTAGGAGCACCAGCGTTTTACAAACTGGGAGACCTGGTTTGCAGAGCAGGGAGTCCCCTCTGCGAGGCTCAGCCACAGAAACCCCTCCCTGTGTCTCCTGAAATGTGATGGCTGGGCAAGGTAACCTCCCCCAGGACACCAAAGTGGTCATCTCAGCACACAGTTTGTCTGGAGAAAAACTCCTCAAAAAAAAAAAAAAAAGGAAAACCCACAGAAAACCCCAAGAAAGACACAGAACATCCCAGGCCTTGCATTTGGTTGGGTTATCTAAAAACAGGTGGTGTAAAATTAACAATAATGGGGTGAAAAGCAATATACTACAGGGTCAGTGGTTCACAGTTAACTTCCCTTGTCACTTCACAGGCCTTTGGCTTCATGACCAGAGTGGCTCTACAGGCAGAAAAACTGGATCACCACCCTGAATGGTTCAACGTGTACAATAAGGTAAGAAACAGGGATGGTGGGGGCAAAACAGAGCTCTTCAGTGAGCAGATCCCTTTTCTGAGGGATAAAACAGGAGCAGCAAGTCCTGTTCCCATCAGCAGGACTTCTTCCCTCAGATGCTATTCCCCTATCCCAGACAGCCTCCAGCTTTCACAGATCCTTTCCCTCCTTGTTTTTCCCTGTCCAGCTGAGCAGGAGCTGCCCTGGCCAGTCCCAGGGGGTGTCTTTTTTAAATCATATCAGAAGTAGCAGGAGTAGTAGGGGAGAAGCTTCTAGGGAAGGAGGGAGTTGAGAAGCGGGCACAGTGGCTGCTGTGACCGAGGGAGGGGTGGCAGTGACAGCTTGTGGACAGGATAAGCTGCAGGAAGGAGAAAACCAGGCAAAGTGCCAGGCCACCTCTCCCACCCCAGGAAATGTCTGGAACCACCTCACCTACAGCACTGGGGGAAACCATCCCTGCTCCTTCTGCCAGCAACACTCTGTCTGTCTGTCTGTCTGCTTCAGGTTCACATCACCTTGAGCACCCACGAGTGTGGAGGGCTGTCGGAGCGGGACATCAACCTGGCCAGCTTCATCGAGCAGGTCGCAGCTTCCCTCTCCTGAGCTCTGGAGAGACATGAAGCCCAAAAGCCACTGTGCCACTGCCACAACCCGTGTCCAGACAGCTGCCCCCAGAGCCTTGTCCTGCTTCCAGGCTACATCCTGGGATCCAGACTGCCTGACACCTCACCCATCCCCCTGCCCCAGCTCACCTGGATGGAGGCCCTGCTCAGGGTGCATATACTGAGCTTGCAAATTCCACCCATAAAACCTTCCTTAGCCACGTGCTCCCAGCCCACCAAGTGCTGAGCCTTTCACCAGGAATCAGTCATATCACAGAAACACAGACTGGTTTGGGTGGGAAGGGACCTTAAAGATCATCTCATTCCAACCCCCTGCCATGGGCAGGGACACTTTCCACTAGCCCAGGTTGCTCCAAGCCCCATCAAGCCTGGCTTTGAACACTTCCAGGGATGGGGCAGCCACAGCTTCTCTGGGCACCCTGTGCCAGGGCCTCACCACCCTCACAGGCAATAATTTTTTCCTAATATCCAATCTAGACCTACTCTCTGTCAGTGTAAAGCCATTCCCCCTTGTCCTGTCACTACATGCTCTTGTGAGAAGTCCCTCTCCATGTTTCTTGTGGGCTCCTTTCAGGTCCTGGAAGGCCACAATTAGGTCACCCCAAAGCCTTCTCCTTTCCAGGCTGAACAATCCCAGTTCTCCCAGCCTTTTCTCATAGTAGAGCTGTTCCATTCCTCTAATCAGCTTGGTGGCCTCCTCTGGACTTGCTCCAACAGCTCCATGTCCTTCCAGAGTCATGTTACATAATTGCACCAGTAAATCTTTCCCAAGCCTGACTCCATCCAGCCACTGTGTTGTTGCTTCTAGAATATGCTTTCTGCCTAAAACATGTTTTGTGAACCACTTGGTCTCTCTGTAACAAACCAGCAAGGTGATGTGCAGTTTGTCATCCCTGTAACCCCTCTCCAAGAGCGTTACAAGCAGGCATGTGGTCTCACCCCAACTGGAACCAGCCTTTAGTAAGATACCAAGTGATAATGTTTACAATAAATGTCTTGGTTAACCTGATGTCAGCTTGGAAAGAGGCCTCACTGATCAAATGACACCAACAGGTCTCCCCGAGGCAGGTACTGCCCTCAGAAAGGTGCTTCTGCTATGGGGAAATTTCATGGAGAAACAGCACATGCCTTGGCCTCAAAGTGATCAGAGTCTGAAAAAGCAGATGATTAAAGCCAGAGCAGGTAAAAACTGCTCGTGTAAAATCACATGTGTGCCATAGCCAAGGCACAAACACAGGGAAGGGACAACCAAAAGGTACAAAAGCAGCACAGCAACAGGCCAGGGGTTGCTTATGTCCCAAAAAGAGGGTGGGGGTGGATTTGGTGGTACAAGATCTTCATTAATACAATGATCAACTTGATGTGAAACCAAGAGTAGCTGCTTTCAGCACAACAGTCTGGGGAAAAACATTACAAACACCCAGTTCAGATCTGATTTTTTTCCTCTTTTTTTTTTTAACCCTTTAAAGTTCTACAAAGCATTAGTAGAAAATCCACAGCTCTTAAATGAGAGCTTTCAGCATCTTTGAACATCACACACATAAGACGTAGCCACAGACACCCTTTATCTTGTCAGAATGACAGAGCAGACCTCAGGCAGAGTTGTTAAGATTCATAAACCATCCCTACCTGCTACAGCCCAGGCTGGGCATGAGCAAAGACCAGGAACAACAGGTCCCTAGTCATTCAAATGACTATTGAAACAGGAAAATAAGAGCTCGAGGAGCCTAGATAGCTAAACACACCATTTTAATACAAACTAGGCCCATTTTCACCATCTCTTCAGCTATTTCAGCCTCCAGTTTTACAGTGGCAAATCAGAGAAACACAGAAATACTGCCATCAGGTGAACTCATCCTGTTTGTCCATTAAAAAGTCCATGTGGATTTACTGGGCAGGATATTATTGTGTTGTACGCAACCCTTCCTTTCCCCTCTCCTCCACGTCATCAGAAAAGTGCAGATGAAATCCATGGCATGAAGACACACATCTCTTCTTGGTCCATCCCATTGGATATTCTTCAGTCTAGTACCTAAGAGCAGGCAAATCCCTTGGAAGTTCTCTGTACAAGCAACAAATTCAGTGTCCAGCTGGGAAAACCTGACAGCTGGAAATCTCACGGGAATTAACAGTCATGGAAATCCCTCCAGGTAGAAAGTACCATCCAGTCTCAGATCATAATCCAGTTCATCAAATTCTTCTTTTTTTGTCTTTTAAGTAATCACACAGCCTGTTAATCCATTTTTCTAAGACCATTTGGCATGATAAAGGAGATGCAGATTACATGTGAGGTGACCAGGATGAATAAAGACTACACACAAGTAAATTACAGTGGCCCGCTCCTGACCACAGGATTACATTACAGTACAGAACAAACACACATGAAACAACTAAACCCACAAATATTATTAATAAGCAAAGCCCAGAATAGAATACACTGATTTACAAATAACATCTTCAAATACTTCCAGAAATGTGAAATGGAGCACTGATCTGTTAGATCCATCTACTTCCTGGGAGGAAAAATGCAACTAGGGAAGGAAGAGAAGGGATTTTCTCTCTCCTTCAGCCCACCCCTGATCCATCCCTTCTTTCTTTTAAAGCAGAAAAAAAAAGAGTACCTCCCTTTTTTGCTTTGTTTTGTTAAATCTCAGTTCAAAAGAGAACCATCACAGTAGCCAGACACTTAAGACTGTCTCCAAAGTAACTGCAAGCTCAGAGATGCAGTAATGGTCACACTGGCAAGACCTTGACAGAATAAATGGGTCCAGTACAAACTGCCAGAGCTGATAACCCCATCAAGAGACTCTCAAGCAATTCAGTGATTTCGAAAGGGCCCAGAGACACGCATCAAGTCATCAATCTCAGGGCAGATGGCCAAAATACTTTTGTCTCCCAGCACTGAGAATAAAGCTGTTGGAAAGCCAGTATTCTTGCCACAGTGGCTGGGCCCAGGGCTGCACTGGTTTGTGCAGTGGCTGGTGACTTTCTCATTCTGTAAAATTACTGTGCAAGTGTGTGCTTCAGCAAGGGTCAGCTTCAGGCAACAGGCCCTCTACAGCAGAGAAATGTCTTCTGATCCCCTGTGCAGACATGGCATGAAATCTTTGCCCACGTGTGGAGTTCTGCCTGGAAAACTCTCTGTTCCAAGCAAAAAGCTCAGAGGAAACATGGGAAAGCCCTGCAGGAGTAACTCCACTGGTATTTAATAACTTAAGGAGATTCTGGCTTGGCCTTGAGGCTACAACTGCCTCACAAGCTGCACTGGGAAAATGATCTCACCATAAAAACAACAGAGAAAAATAGGAAGGCTGAGCCCTATGCCCAAGGCTTGAGCACCTCCAACTTGCTGCAGAGCTCTCCCAGCATCTTTGTAATACTGTGAAGGGACTTGGCTCAATACAACTACTACCCTACCTTACAGGCAGGTGTCCTTCCTCTGAGGCCAGCCTGCCTTTGCAGTTTATTTTCAGCATAGTACCATAAAGAGACGACCGCAGCCGAGGTCACGGCCAACAGCTGAACCCTCCAGCCCCCCCTGGCATCTCACAAAACCAAAAAAAACCAAAAAAAAAGCCAGAGAAGCATCAAGGCACAATGGTGAATGCCCTTTTGAGAATGTGCCTTAAAAGAATCAGTGCAAAGATTACTGCTAATACAAAAGTCACCTTTTTGATACTAAAAGATCGTGGTAAAAAAAAAAAAAAAGAACCGTCAGCTTTGGCACCGTCCGTTTGCACGTGACATCCAGGGCCTGGCTAGCTCTGCCACAGCATCACGAGGGGACAGTGGAAAACCTTCAAGTTATGGGAAGGGAAACTGGTTTTGCACCTCCCTCCGGAATTGTGCAAGGTAAAAAACAGCCCTCCAGGTGGTAAATGCACGTCTTCTGGAAGAGGCAGGGAAGCAAAACAGCTACGATGTACCCGGGATTTTCAGTACCATCCAGCTCCTCTCCCTACACCACCCGCTTGGGTTTCTATTTCTGCTCCTACTCAAGAGGCTCCAGAAAAGGATTTTGTGTTGTTTTTTTCTCCCCCTCAGCAGATATTGATTGCAGTCTCACTGAGATCTCCAGAGGGGATTTCAAAAGGAGTCCGTGACCATCTTCCCTTTCCCAATTTATCAGCTCTGCATTACACAGATATAAGGCTCCCAGCACGGTCTGTTAAATGCAGTAGCTTAGAGGAATACTGAAACCAAAACAAAATTTTCAATTTATTTTCTACCTTTAACTTCTGGGAAGATTGAAGCTTTGGAACACAACATGAGAACTCAAATCTAACACTTGGCTGGACACTGGCTGAATACCAGGTCTGAGGAGGAGGAACAGCAAGGAATGAAGTGACACGCAGAATACCTGAGGAATTTGGAGTTGTGGAATGGACATTCAACTGACCATCAACAGCCATGATAAAACAGGCAGGGGGAGGGGAAGAGAATCCCTAAAAATGAAGTTGGGCATGAAAATAATGTGGATTTCAGAACAGACTAAGACAGGGAAGGAATTCTTCCAGATCAAGCCACGCTCAGACCTGCAGTTGTAGGAACAAAGGCTTACTGCAATCTCTTCCCTAGGAAACTTTTTGATCCACTCCAGTGCCAGCTGGCAAGGCATCCATTGTTGCTGTACAGTCAGTGGTGGCTGGGAGAGCCGTTCATGTGCTTTTCACTGCAAGGAACATCCGTGCTGTAGAGGCCGTCCAGGTACGCCTGGGAAATCTCTGCTACCAAGCTCCTGTCTGGGACAGACTGTGCCATTCCATAGATAGCTCCCTAAGCAAGAAGAGCAGGCTGTTACAAAGGAGAAACATGCCCCCACCCCCAAGAACATCCCCTCACTGTGTGCTGGCCTCCTCACCATGCCTGTGGTCTTGGCGTTGAGGTCCTTCACGATGTCCTCGATGCCGTCTCTGACATCCCTCAGGAACTCTTCAGCAACGCCAGGCTTCGTGTGCAGCTGAGTAATGCAGAGATGGATGCTGGGTAGGCAGGGCAGAGGGACAGATTAACCACCTCCAGAACATACAGCTCCCTATTTTCCAAGCAACTGACAGCACTTTAGTCCTTCTGTGAGCAGTGATAACCGTGTATCTCCCTAAAAAAGCATTCCCTAAGCACCCCTAAGGGTAATCCCTGCAAAATACTTACAGGAACCAAGCTTGGAGAGTTCAGCTCTTCTTCTGCAAATGTCAGCTCCTCCTCCCTTCCTTCCTGACTTCACCATTACATTAAAGGCCTATCATTTTCTCACCTCATTCCAGGGACCTCTGGTGAGAAAAATGCAGCTGCCTGCAAGGATGGTAATCCTGGCCATCATTTCCCTCTCCTTCCTCTGCAGCTTTCAA